TTAATTAGTATTGATGAAGGAAAGGAATATATATGTTTGTAAATGATACTCCACCCATTCTATTAAAGTATTTAATTAATATGGGAATATTAGGAAAATTAAATAGATGGCTTAATTCTAACAAAATGGACATATAATCTCTCCCTAAAGTTATTAGATGACCAGATGTAACATTATGGTAGTGTTGTATGTCAGTATCAATTTATATAAGTTAAACAACTTTGCATATATCAGTCCATGAATTACACAAATAAGTTTGGATAAAATTGATAAATATGAGAGAACAAATGGATTAAGTCTTGTATTTGGAATTAAAACTCTCTAAACAGCTTGTACATAGATTAGAGGAGATGCAATTAGCTGGCTAGGTGTAATTTGGATAGGGAAGAAGAGGGAGGAAAGGGGGGGGTACTTTAGTCCAGGGCCACGTTACTGAAAGGGAGATATATGAGCCAGGGAGGGACGTTAGTGCTGTGTTAGAAAGAGGCCAGCTTTTGCTTTTCTTTTACTCTCTGCCCTGCCATTATACTTTTGGCAATCTTCTTTACTTTTTGTCTCTCTTCCCCTACCTATCCCTTTCATTCTTCTTCCTTCTCTCTCTCTCTCTCTCTACCCTCCTCTTTACTACTGCAATCTCCCCCCCCCCCCAAAATATATATGTATATATATAGCTTTTACGCATCGTCTTATCACATAAGGTATCAGTGAGCGCTAGGGCTGGGGTAGGTCTTTGTGGCATTTCACTTGAACATGTGTTATTGTGTTTTACTCGTGAATTTTTACCTCATTATTCTGTGAGCCATCAGTTTCTGTAAAGCCTTCAATTTTCCCCTCCTGAAAAATTATGTTCGCTATGAATGTTCTGATGCATGAAGTTGGCAGAGCCATTTCAGTGATATGCTATCTCACGTTTGAGCTTCAAGACTCTGTTTTATATATGAACCCTCCCTCTATGTGTATGGTAAATGGCAAGAGTCTAAGACAGTATAAACATTACTTTCTCTAAGAAACTCATAAACTAAAACAGTACTTGAAGTGCATTGTTTTAACGAATAGTGTTAACTAATTACAACACAACTCATTATTGGTGAAGAGACTATGGAACGTGAAAAAAAAAAGCGTGGACGGCAGGATTCGAACCTGCGCGGGCAGAGCCCACATGATTTCTAGTCATGCCCGATAACCACTCCGGCACGTCCACCGCCTGCTGGTGATCTCTCAAAGTACATAAGTCTATGTTGCTGGCTAATCATTAAATATTAAAACATGTTGCCCGCCTTTTATGTATGTCTCGCGAGTATAATCTGTGCTTCAACTTTCAAGCTTCAACTTTTTAGATGATACATTCTCGTGAATTTACTCACTTTCAATGCCATTCAGATGATTAGATATAGATTTTGACTATACTCTCGTGTTATGTGTATCTAATTGAGAGTAATTTTAATTTTAAATGAAAAATTTCAATCCATTAGATCTTATGATATCTAATTAAATTTATTAATAGTGTTGTTTATTAATAAGTAATTTATTTTAATTAAATGATTTATAAATCTATTTTAATTTAGAAATTTCTTATAGATTTCTAATAATATTTATATAAATTAAATTTTTATAAATGGATTAGTCCTTCATTAAAATCAAGAAGAGCACGAATTTGAGCTGAGTTGGACAAGAGAAAATATTCTTTTTAAAATATTTTATCACTTTTCTGTGAAACTCTGTGTAATACATGGGATATGTTTGATTGAGAAGGAAAGCATTTTAAGGTAATAAGTATGAGGGACAAGAGCTCCCATAATTAAGTGGTTGGGGTAGTTTTGAAATGTAAATTTTTATGGAACTGGTATAAACCTAGATTAATATTTTGTGCCTCCAAAAAAACTAAATACGTTGGAGAGAAGGCTTTTAAATTTACTAATGGATATAAACGTTGGTCCACGGGAAAGGTAGGCATAAGGAATGGCACTGGTATTATCGTCAATAATGAATGGAAAAAGAATATGGTGAAAGTCAAAAGGATAGAAGGTATAATTATTTCTTTAAGAATAATTGTGGGAAGGGATATTATTAATGTGGTTAGTGCTTATGCACCTCAAGTAGGGACAGAAGACTATCTTAAGGAAAAATTTTGGACGAATATGGAGGGTTTGATTCAAAGCATACTACTCATGGAAAAGATTTTTATTAGCAGTGATCTTAATAGACATGTTGATAAAGAAGTGGGACAATATGCAAGGACTGACGGTGGTATGAGTTTTGGAGTGCGAAATAATGAAGGGCAAACTATTATTGATTTCTCCCTCATGTACAACTTCAAGATTGTTAACACTTGCTTTAAGAAGCGAGAGGAGCATTTAATCACTTATAAGAGTGGAACCTCTAGGTCACAAATTGATTTTTTTCTGATAAGAAATCTTAATAGAAAACTCTACACAAATTGTAAAGTGATTCTTAGAGATGGCATGGCATCACAACATAGGGTACTCGTCTTTGATGTGCATATTAAGTGTATAAAATGAAAGCGCTAACAAGTGTCAATTCCAAGGGTCAAATGGTGGTAGTTAAAGGGAGAGAAGTGAAAGACTTTCAAAAGGACTCTTTTAAAAGAAGAGGTTTGGGAGCTACAAGGAAATGCTAATCTTATGTGGACGGAAATAACTAATAAGGTCCAAAAGGCTGCTAAAACAATTTTGGGTGAATTGAAAGGTCATGGTTGGCGAGATAAGGAGACATGGCAGTGAAATAAGCATGTGCAAGAGAAAATCAGGCATAAGAGAGATTGTTTTAAAGCCATACATTTGTGTGATAATGTTAAAAATTGGGAAATGTACCGTTTAGGTAAAAAAGAGACTAGGAGAGCAGTTGGTGAAACTCGTTCTAAAGCTTTTGAGAAGTTCTAAAAAGATTTAGGGACTAAGGCTCGAAAATGCAAGATTTACAAGATTACAAAGAATGAAGAAAGAAAAACAAGAGATTTAGTCTAAGTAAGATGTACAAAAATTATTGATGGTGATATTAATAATCGATGGGAAGCCTACTTTTATAAGCTACTTAACAATGAGGGCGAAGGATTGACTTATTAGTTTGAAGATTTGACAATTGGAGAAGAGGAACATAATTTAGTTTTTTATCAAAGAATTTGAGTTGGTGAAGTTAAGGAAGCTCTCAAGAAAATAAAAAATAATAAAGCAATTAGACTTGATGGTATTCCTATTGAAGTTTGAAAATGTTTGGGTAAAGGTAGTGTGTTGTGGCTTACTAAGTTATTCAATGAGATATTACACTCTAAGAAAATGCCTAATGATTGGAGAAAAAGTACTATGTACCTATTTATAAGAATAAAAGGGATATCCAGAATTGTGCTACTTATAGAGGGAATAAGCTCATGAGCCATACCATGAAATTGTGGGAGAAGGTGATAGAACATAGGTTGAGATAGGAGACTTGTATTTCTGAAAACCAATTTGGGTTCATGCCAGGAAGATTGACAACAGAAGTGACTTATTTACTAAAGGGGTTAATGGAAAAGTACCGAAGCCACAGAAGAGACTTGAATATGATTTTTATTGATTTAGAAAAAGCTTATGATCGTGTGCCTAAAGAAATGCTTTGAAGAGCCTTAGAGAAGAAAGGTGTGCATGTCGCTTTTTTCAAAATCATACAAGACATGTATGAGGGGGTCACAGCTTGTGTTAGAATGCTGGGTGGTGAGACAAAGAACTTTCTTATAAGGATTGGCCTACATTAAGGATCATCGTTGAGCCCTTATTTGTTTAACTTAGTTCTCGATGTTCTAACTGAGCATATCAAAGAAGAAATCTATAAGTGCATACTTTTTGCTAATAATATAGATCTATTGACCAAGTCAAAAGAAGAAATTACTGCTGAACTTGAGACATAGAGAAGAACCTTGGAATTGAAGGGTTTTCATTTAAATAGAAACAAGACAGAATATATGTATTGCATTTTTTATAAGAGACAAGTTAGAATAGATTTGGAGGTCAAATTGGGAGATCAAGTCATTCCACAAGTAGAAAAGTTTAAATATTTGGGATCAATTATACAAAAAGATGGTGAAATTGATGGAAATGTTAGTCATAGAATTCAAGCTGGGTGGTTTAAATGGAGAAAAGCGATAGGAGTTATCTGTGATCAGAAAGTACTCAATAAGGTTAAAGGAAAGTTTTACCGCACTGCTATAAGACCAACAATGCTATATGGCAATGAGTGTTGGGCTTTAAAGGGACAACATGAACATAAAGTAGCAATTGTCGAGATGAGAATGCTGAAATAGGTGTGTGGTCATACAAGAAAAAAAAATATCCATAACGAACATATACGAGGAAAAATTGGAGTGGTTGTGATTGATGAGAAAATGGTAGAAAACCGACTGAGATGGTTTAGTCACGTACAAAGAAGGCCTTGGTACGTGCCAATGAGAAGAGCGGATCAAACAATATTGAGTCCTCTAAAAAAGAGTAGAGGAAGGCCGAAGATAACACTTAATAAAGTTATTAAGCCAAATCTTTCAATTAACAATGTATCAAAAGATTTGGCTTTGAATAAAGCTCAATGGTATTGTGCGATCTATGTAGGCAACCCCACTTAATGGGATAAGGTTTTGTTGTTGTTGTTAGTTTAAACCTAGTAACCCTTGTTGGCCCCCTTTCAAAATTTGGCCACCGTTTCCTCTATAAGCATCAGGAACATAAAATAATTATTAATTCGCAAGGTCTGAAATTGTAGTATTATTTCTCATCCGCTAACCAACCAAGATAATTTAAAAAATGAGATAGAGTGATCTGCCAATTTAGCAAACTACTCGTTTTATTTTACAAGTGCTCAACATATGCCACGTCAGAACTTTTTTTTTTTTAAAAGAAACTTATCCATTTAAATTCCGCCGGCCCGATTATAATAGCCCAAAATGTTTCTTCAAAGCCCACATCCTTTAACGAGCACACCCCTTCCCTTATTCGCGCACCAGAGGCAGAGCTTGTCTAGAAATCTCTATCTCTCTCTCTCTCTCTCTCACCATTTTTGTAAGACGCAAACGGGAAAAATGCAGCACCAGCAGCACAATCCTTCACTCGATTCCGAACCTCAACTCCCACAAATCAAAATCCACCACCCCTCCTCTCCTCGTGTCCACAGCCCCGCTCTCTCCGCCGCCACTCCCACCCCAACCGCCGGTGCCCGCCGCAAAATTGGCGTCGCTGTTGACCTCTCCGATGAGAGTGCCTTCGCCGTTCGCTGGGCCGTCCAGAACTACATCCGCCCCGGGGATGCGGTGATCCTCCTCCATGTTAGTCCTACGTCTGTCCTGTTCGGTGCTGATTGGGGGGCCATCGACCTTACCATCAATACCGATCCCAGCTCGGAGGAAAATGCCGTCAGTAACCTCACTAACAATGAGCACTCCAAGAGAAAGCTTGAGGATGATTTCGATGCTTTCACAGCGTCTAAGGCTGCTGATCTTGCCAGGCCGCTTAAGGATGCTCAGATTCCGTATAAGATCCATATTGTGAAGGATCATGACATGAGGGAGCGTTTATGCTTAGAGGTGGAGAGGCTGGGGCTGAGTGCCGTGATCATGGGTAGTCGAGGGTTCGGCGCGCTACGTCGTGGCAGCGATGGAAGGCTTGGAAGCGTTAGCGATTACTGCGTGCATCATTGCGTTTGTCCGGTCGTGGTGGTCCGGTATCCTGATGATAAAGATGGTGGAAATGGTGCCGGGAGCGATGGTACTGCCGTGGTGGCAATGAAAGTGGAGGAAGAGGATGAGGCAGTAATCAAGACGGTGCCAGTCCAACAAGAACATAAAAAAGGTTCGGGATTTTACCTTGGGTATGCGTGTGTTTATGCACAAATGCCCTTTCGTGATGTTATCATTTTATTTTGATTGCGTTTTTTGGATGATATTTTGTTTTCCTTCTTCAAGTGTCGTTTTTGTCTTTGTTTTATCTTTTTTTGGAGTGAACAATTTTAGTGATTAGGAATATAAATTTTTTGAAGCTTAAGATCTATACTTATAGACTGGCGTAATCAACGTGCTTTTCGTGGGTATTCTTGAGTTTGCTTATAGATGAATTTTACATTGCTACAAGGTAGAATGAACCAGACGGAGTGTGCTGTATAATAAACAAATAGGTGGATGGCTAAAATTCTTATGTTGTGTGAACGCAGAGGGCATGCTATGCTGTCAGAGAAAAACTTGTCAAGGGTTTTTCTTATTGTCGATGTAGATTTGCTTTTGATTTTATCAACTTGGTGGATGGTGACACTTGTGGGTTTAAAAGTCTAGGTAGGGTTTTGCTTGCTATTGATGCGGATTTGTTGGTGATTCTGCCCGCTTGATAGATGGTGGCACTTTGGTAGGGATAAAATTTTGAGTAAATTTAGTACTGATTTAGCGATTGAATTGTGGTAATATATACCTGCTATGAGGTTTTCTTTCATTTGATCCTGATTTATGATCATCATCCTATTAGAAGCGAACATCGCAAGGAATGGAGTTTGTATCATTCTAAGAATACATTCCTACGTAGTAGTTGTGACCATAACCAAGCCATCGTGCATAGAGGACCAGCCTGGATGCTATATTGGGTGAGATGTTAGTTTGGAAGCTGCATGTCAGATGAGTAAAACTGCAATAGTATGAATATCTTCCATTGAGAATCTGAGAGGCCATGTTCCCTTATTGTGATCACAGCTTTTTAATGCATCTTTAACATTCATGAATTGGTCAGGTTTATTTTTGTCGTAACTAGGTTCCTTATAATATAAGCTGAGCGCTTGCCCCTCATAGATCATATGTCTGACTTGCCATTCCCTATAAATTTGAGAAAATGATCGGTCTTTTCTATAAATAGGACCCCTGCTCCATGTGATATGGATCTCTCTTTGCAACGGTTGGTAAATGCTAAAAATTAAGAAAATGATTTTACATACTGAGCAATTACTAGATTTAGATTTAGGTATTCATATTGACCATTCAACGCTTGTTTATAGTGGTATGGGGCCCCTGAGCTTAGAGTTCATCTCCATACCCGGAAAACTAGATTGTGGAGTTGCCTTAGCATGGACGTATGGCATGATGGTTTGTTGTCCTGGACATTGGAAGCTGAATTTGATGTTATGATTACCTGATTGAGACATCAGATATTGATTACATTGTATTTTTAAGCATAATCGTTAAGGGAAGAAGTTTTCCTTGGTTAAGTTGGAGTTTGTGAAAATGACAACAAATCATTTATAGTTAAAATTGAACTTTTCAATTTCTTTGGGATATCATAGTAGCAAAATCATTGTTCAGAAAATTTGAAGAGTCTATACCATAATATTGCATTACAAGTGGGACTAACTGATTTGCTTATCTGTTCATTCATCTTTTCAACTGGAAAATGTTGAGCTGCTGAAAGCTGGTTAAAACTTATTTATGAATTGTTCCAACTTGCTGTTTCACATGGAGACTAAATAGTAAAATTATTAATTGAAAATTTTGTTTAATACTTTACAAAGTAGGTCTTGTATTAAGGGCCGGAGTGAGTATGATACTGAAATGATCATGGTAAGTTATATTCTAGTTAGTCAAATGTGAAAGGCGCTCCTGAAGAGTTAGATGCTCCCACTTCCTCGAGGAAGGACTAGCTTGAAAATTGCCTTAGTGAAGCAAGGTGCTGGAATAAGAGGAAAAAAGCTAAAAGATGTGGTGTAAAGAACTAAAGATGAAGTCTTGTGATTATGTTTGACATATAAATCAAACTAAATCATAATAATTATATAAAACAGTGCATTAAAGTTATCAATTCGTTAGTCAGGGGAAAAAAAATTCACTTCCAAAGTAGATGTTGCTGACTTGCTGGCAGCCATGCGTTGATAAAATAACTGAAGTGCTAAAATAACTAAAGTGCATAAAAGTCCAAAAACTTTCTTTGAATAGATGGCCATATTACTTTTGACTTTTGAGTTACTGGCACCATCTTTCATCCGCCTGAAAGGCCTGTGGGAGGGTCCCTCCCTAAACTGACAAGAGGAAACGCTGAGGGTTCATAGTACCCTTGACTGGATTAAAATTTGAAATTTCTTTCTTTCTTTGTTCTTTTTTATGATGGACATTATAATTTATGAAAATTGTTAATGCTTGGAGTTTGTCATTTTTTGTACATTCTTGCTAAACCTCTATCTTATTTTGGGGGTATTTTATTGTAATATGCGATATATCTCTTTCAACACAGTTTAACATGTGAATCTCTTGCCTCTCTAGTCCAGTGATTGGTTAAACTTATGGTTGCATCTGAGTTTGACATGGAACAGTATACCTTAGGCCAGTTGAACTCATGTAGCGTCATAAGTTTGTGAATTAACCGTTGTTTAAGATGAGGAAGTTGAGTTTCACAAGTCTTAGCTGCCCCCAGCTCTTTATAACTGTTTTGAGGCATGGCTAATCGTGTTCCAGTGGTTTTCTTTTGTACAAGTCGATGCTGTCTTATGAATGTTTAAGCAAACTCAAGATGATAAATGTAGCCTTGATGTTCATCTATGAAGAAGAAATTTTTATAGGTGGTGTTTGATTTTATTTGTAAGAATGCTTTATTTTTCCTTCTGACGTGAGTTCTCAGAGTTGAATTATTTATATGATTTAGTTCATGTATTTTATAACTGGACATGATGGCGAAATAGCTGGTCATGGAATTGACTGGTAAATTGTTAACTCATGCAGAAGATTAGCTGAGGCCACGTTGAGCTTTATTTTGCATGGACAGGTGTGCGTTTCCCTTTTCTGTCTGTTGTTTTATGCCCATTTAGATGTTTAAAACCCTTTCTTCTTCTTTCGTGCGGTCCCTCCCAGGTTATTGACGGGCCTTGCTATCAAATCGGTTCATAGGTTTCATGTATCTTGACTTTCTTCTTTTGTGTATACTAAATTGCAGAATGCATATCCCAACTGGGATTGGCCAAAAAAATGATATGGGGATATTTATGTTCTCGGGTGCCCACGTTTCTTTGTACTGGGAGCATTTCTTGCTTATGAACACTGGAAAGATTTTAGAGATGTTCTTCTATGGCTTGATGTGATCTCGGTTCTTCAGGCCATCCAAAGAGTGTTGTAGCTTCTTTTCTGATGTGGTTTATACTCTTTCATGTAGCTGGGCAAGCTTGCCTGCCTTCGGTTTTCTGGTTCTTATTTCCGATCTGTAAGTATAAAGCTACGCCTCTCGTTTAAACATCTAAATGGGCATAAAGAAAATGACAAAAGGTTGGAGTTTCAACTCAAGTCTAAGTTGATTTTTCTGTTTTTGCCTCGCTAATTTTAGCTTTTCAATGACCAAAAAGATTCTGGTAAAAAAAAAAAGACCAAAAAGAGGGTGTAAAGTTATACTCCTCATTTTTATTATAAGCTCCAAATAACTAATCTTAAACATTTAATTAAAATTAGTTAAAACAATAAATACGTTAAAAATATATTTTTTTTTCAAATATACAAAAAAGATGAAAAAATGTTTGAGAAAATGTGATTAGGAAGAAATAATTAAAGGTAATATTAGAAAATTTAAATTGAAGCTTGTAAAATGAATTATATTTTTTTCTTAAATTTGAAACGATGGGAGGTGGTAACTTCTTAAGCTGCATAAATCGTGCTTATGGGGGACAATGGGAAATATTGGGTCTGTTTGGATTAATGATTACAAAAATAGTTTGTTGCCAATTTGACTTTTAAAAGGATAGATAAAAGTTAAATTGGTAATGTGAATTGTGTTTGAATTGAATTTTATAAAAGTTAGTTTATAAAGTTAGATTGAGTAAAATGTTATTTGGATTATGATTGAATAAAAGTAAGTTTTGTTTGTATAATTACTATAATAGGTATGAGTTTTATTAGATAATAAAAAATATAAATTTTATTAAATAATGATAAATGATTAAGAAAATAAATTTACACATAATAAATTTAAGGGAAAATAGCCACACAAAAAAAGATTATTGAAATAGAAAAATTGCACCCAGGGGTTAGTTTATAAAAATTGTTATCAAAATCCATACTAATATTGTCATGTGTCTTTATATTTATAATTTTTCTAGTTTGACAGTCTTTTTGCTATTTTTTCCAAATTTAAATTATTTTAATGTGAAGAAGCAAAATTTCATCGAAATATATTTTAAAACATTATTTTTAATGATGAGAAAGAGCATGAAAGGTTTTCGAATAATGAGAGAATGAGAGAGAATAAAGTTAGGAAAAGAGTGAGAAAATGTGATACTGTGTAATAATTGTTTCAACTGTGTATTAATTCGTGAGATTCAATCTTACTTTTGAGTCATAAGTAGTATAGCCCAAAAGCCCCATTAAACACCCATAAAATTTACAATCATGCTTATCACATCAAGAAGTTATTTTTAGGCTTCAAAACACTCAGCCAAACACACCTATTATTAAACAGCACCGTTGTATTTGTAACCTTGTTTCATTCTCTCCTCCCTTTCTCCAACCCTGCACTTCAATATTGGTCCTCGCTGTCATGTGATATAAATCTATGGAAAGCGAAGGCATTTCTCAACTCGTTTGTAATTTCAGGTCACTAATACCTATTCTTAAAATTTTAAAAACAGAAAAAAAAAAAAAGAAGCAGCAATTTTCTTATTTGCCCAACTTAACCCCTCTAATATTCATCAAGCTTGTTATCCTCAATGCAAAGGGTTAATCCGATTAATTGCTCAAGCATTTGTTATCAAGTTGTTCCTCAAAACTTCTCAAAATCTACCGTGCAAACCTAAGTTTGAAGGTATGTACACATTTAGTTCCTAATACCTCAAATAATATCATCTCTAATAAAATTATATTTATAAATAACAAAAATTAGTAAATTACAATATACCGAAATTTCAACATCTTTTTATATTTTATTTTAAAACAAGTTGCCAAAAAACGCCTTGCTGCTTCTAGTTTCTGCACCAACTATTAGTATGCCCACTGAATTGAGCTGCCTGACAAAAATGCAACTTGTCTCAACAACTATGAACCACCGTAACCTATTTCCTACTCTGTCCCTCCCCAATCAAACCTCCAAAAGAGATAAGTCCGAGATAAGAAAGAAAACGCTAAGGGCAAAACAGAGTCAACAAAACCGGGCCAACTTTAATCTGAACAAAGTTTACATTGAATTCCATTGTAACTCGTTAATATGCACTTTATTTAGGCCTAAGTCCCAATATGAACCCCGCAACTTCCTCTCCGATCTTGGCCAGTATATGAACCATCCATCCGTGGAATCCGAAAGTGACAAGGTCTTAGATTTTAATTTCTATGATTACAAGTCAAATTGCAGTCAAAGTTATTCAATCCATTGTGAAAAAAAAAAAAAAACTCGTAGTTACAAGCATAATACAATATAATTCCATACATTGAGGCCAGTTTCATGAAATGCCTAAACAAATGACAGAATCTCTTAAAGGGTGAATCGCTCATCCATTGTTAAAAGAATCAAATGGGAATATAGACCTTTCTAGTGTTGAAGCTATAGAGTCGGAAGAAAAAACATTGGAGTTAGTAGGGTCGAGACTCTAAATCAACGGTTCAGCTCTGTCCTCATCGTGCATCATCTTCAAACAAAGGCTATTAGCTCTGCGGAGTAGTTCTAGGATGCTTCCATGGCCTGAGGATGCTCCAAGAAGATGAATCATCGTCTGGTAGTTGCGCGGCAGAGGGCATTTCAGATGAAGAACAGCCGATCTCATCCTGCATTAACGAAGAAGAAAAGAAATTAACAACGGTTCCTGTTTGGCCACCCAGAATTGTGATAGGTTCTAAATCGATTTCATTAACAGTAACTATTTGGATCAATTCCTTGAAGAGATGAAAACCTACATCGGAATCGACAAACGCACTCGATCGCCGCCGCTTCCAGGACAAAGAAGAACCAGCTGAAGCGGAACTTGCAAGAGGCGGCGATGACTCCGAAGCAGAAGCGCAAGACCATGGAACCACCTGGTTCTCTCCTTCCTCCTCCTCCTCCTCGTCCTCTCCCTCGTCTTCATCGTCATCATCTTCATAACCAGAGTCAGCATCGGAACTGGAATCTCCAGCATCATACTGCTCCTCCTCCTCCTCACGATCAGGACTGTCACGGAGATCATGATGATGATCATCACGATCATCTTCTTCCTGGTGATGCTTGTGGGAATCGGAGGCACAGTGGTTACAGATGGAGTGAGTCGGAGTGAGCTTAGGACCACAGGCTTTCCAGGGAGTGAAAGACTGACAGGTACGGCAGAGAAGAACTCTGGTGTGCTTCGCCACCAGAAAGTTGGCGCCGTGAACCTTGTCGTCGCAGCGCCAGCATAGCTTAGCCTGGTCCGACTCACAGTACATCCTCGCTCTCTTCCCGCACAGCGCGCAATCCGCCATTCCGTCTTCCTTCCTTCCTTCCTTCTTCGCCTTCGTCTTCCTCTTTTCCTCCCTCTCTTCCATACCGTATAATAAATACCCCGAATCCTGACTTTGACCCTCGTCTTCACCGCGTAATTACATTGCTTCCCTGCCATCCATTTACTAGATTCTTCTGTACACGCTCGTGGGCAGTATCGTCATTTCAATTGACAGCGCGTTGTTAGATGAGAAATTACAAAAATTCCAAGTGTAGTTTTTTTCAAAAAAAAAAAAAAAAGTATCACCTTAATTTCAATGTCTCGTGAACAGAAACAGCACGTTATATAGCATTAGTTCATTACTCATATGATAATGATTTAACCCTTAGTGTCTTTTTAAAAATTTTTTTTTAAAAGTTGGTCTGAATCTTATCAACAACCGACTTAATCAATTTTTAATGTGAGGAGATTAAAAAACAGTATGGTACTAAAAAGTCGTTATTAGGTGTGAACCTAATAAGACACTCCAAGTATATTTCAAAGGGTCTAGAATATAATCATCAATCTAACTACTGTTGTTACATTGAAAAAAAAAAAAAAAAACAGTTTATCTGATCGCTAAAGCTACTTTTTGGGAGTTTAGATTAGAGGGCTTCCTTCCTTCCCCTGTCCAACAATCACATTCCAACACGCGGGATTTTTATAATATTTAATTGGTTCCACCTTTTTTGTCAACCTTCTTATCCTCCGAAAACGCGTCTCTAATCCTATATATAAAAATTAAATAATTAATTAACGAAGGTTAAGTGAATTACCTGAGTTAGTTATAAATAAATAAAATAAAAGTTTGCCAAGATATCCTATAATAATTGGCAATAAAAATTACCACGTGTGAAAACATTTCTACAGTTAATAAAGGGAACGGATGTTTTATGTTAAAAATCAAAACAAATCTTTCAATTACCTGATTCATTTAAGATTGAACGAATTATAATTTATATATGATAAAAGTACACAAAATCTTGTGAAAACTGTGTCTGTGCTAAATAGAGGTGATTGAACGTAAAAAAAAACCAAAAAAAAAAGAGCAAAATTTGTGTCTGTGCTTAATTTCAATTAAAATTAAAAGCAAGAAATTGATAAGCATAATTAATTTTCAAGTCAAACAGCTTTCTTTTGTTTGTGCAAAAAAGATCAAACAGTCGTGATGGGACAACATGAACATGCAAGTTGAATCCCTTGGTCTGAAATAAATCATGCAACTTGGAGCTGTAATATCTCTTTTAATTTATTTTTTAAAAAAAAACAGAAGGTGGTGGCCAGATTTGATTTATGAGGAGCTTTGAGACGCGGACTCTAATTAGGCGGCTAAACTACGAGCGGATACGATTTAAGCTCGGTCCGAAATGCCACACGGCGTAAATCGTCGCCACGTGTACCCCGACTTGTGGACACAAACAGCTTAGCGTCTCCGCCGGGGGATCCTCCCAGATATTTTCAGATTTTTTTGCCTTGCTTCATTTCCCTTCTCCTTCGATGCATGACACGTCACGCTAATACCCACGTGGCAGGATGTGGGGCCGGTTTCACGTGAAGGCGGGTGGGGGCTGCCTCGCTTCGGAACTAACGCAACCCGGATGGATAGACAAGATATCCAACCAACTCGAGGAGATATTATATTTATAGTAAATTGAGGAGAATTGGGATTTGATAGAATCTTTTTATGGGCTGAGAGCAAAGGAGGGCGAGATTCACGTGGACGAGAGAGAGAGAGAGGGGAATGAACCTGTGGATGGAAGAAGAGGGGTGAGATGAGAGAGGTTCGGTGAATGAAGACTGTGGGCAGGAAAAAGAGGAGGGGGGGTTGCATCGGGTTCTTCTAATTTGGAGTGTTGGAGACTTGGAGTCATGACCAATGCCCAATAATGGAGGCGGAGAAGTCAATGGCCATTGTGTGGCCATGACCTGTGTCACTTGTACCTCTTCCTTTGGCCATGTATTTGGATTATTATATTTTAATTTTAAAAACTTATAAATTGCTTCTCCGAATCTCCGGTTCTACCTCTAAAACTCATTCTATAGTGTAATTTACACTATAAAATACTATTTCCGATTCTTAATATAACATTTTATTTGATTTTTATTTTAATCTTAAATATAAGACTTTAATATACTTTGTCTCTCATGTTTACTCAGCTTTTTTAAAATAGTCCTTCTAATAATTGTAGTTCTAGTTAATACACTTGATTAGCAAGGATATTTTAGGAAAGACAACACCTATTTAGGACAAATAACTAACTCAACTTACTTCCTTAATCTTCTCAAATTAGTCAACTGGCTCTTATAATTAGGACCGAAAATAATATGTCTTATATTTAAGACTGGAAGAGTATATTGTTATCCTTAGAGATTTTTAGCTCAACTAACATTTAGCATCTCCTTAAGTATTGCTTAAACATGATGTTGTATATTGGAACCTTCATAGGTACGAGTTCTTTCTACCAAAGGAAAGATGACCACAAAAAATAAAGCATTACCCTATATTTAAATATTGTCAAACTTAAACAGAGATGGTTCTCATTGAAGCGTTTTTTTGCGTTTACATAGACTACAATTTAGCACCTAGTATTTCCAATAATATGCTGTTATTGATAACATTTACTCCTCTGATTCTTAATATAAGACTTAATTATTGAATAAATCTTAATCTTATTTTTATTATATTTATCAGTTTTTTCTAAATTACTCCTATTGATATTCTCTAACCATAATCAAGTAGAAAAATAAAGAAAGATATTAAAAAAGATGATTATAGTATTTTAGAAAAAACATGTCATATTTTTTATAATGAACTAATTTATCTAATTTTTTAATCTAATCAAATTAATTAAAAACAACGTGTCCATTTCTTTGACGAAAAAATTGGTTTGACTATGGCTCCCGCTTTTCATCCTGGAGTTTTCTTTTTCCGTTCGTGAGAGTCTTGTCCCTTTGCGCTTGGGGTCTTGGCGTTGGCGCCTGTCTTTCCGACACATGTCGAAGGAAAGGTTATCCGGCTCGAGGGTGTATATTTTGCTTTTTTTTTTTTGAGTATCTGTCTATGCTGCTATTTTTATGGGACGTGGTCTGAGAGAAGAGAGGCTAGATTGGAGGGGGACATAAAAAAAAACAGTGAGGATGCAGAAGGAAAGTTGAAGTCTTGCCAAAGATTTGAGTTTTCTTATGCATTTTCCTGATGAAACCAAGCAAGAGAGATAGGGGACTGCGAGTATGTCGACACTGAAGGGTCCTCTCATTCTTGTTATAGATCTACTGTGGAATCTTGTATCTTCTTTGGTATAGGTCGGATGGGTTTGGCTTTTGGTTGTTCCTCATAGATATGGTGGCTTGGGGTCGGGATGGTTTTGGTGGTGTTGGTCAAAACTTTATGGAGTTGTTGTTTTGCTGTTGTCATTAGTGATCTTTCTATACGGTGGCGCTGCGTAGAGATTGGGTCTCTATTCTTTTGTTAACAGATAGGAAGTTAAAAGGGATGGGACCGACGGAGAGGTTCTTTGAGCCCACATCCCTCGTGCTCATCATTGTTGTTGGTGTTTTTTTAACTCTTTTCTAGCGATGGCGGCAACACTTACGGCACTCCATCTTTGATCTAGAGTTAAAGGTTTGTTTTGGTAGAATTTTTTGGGTTTTAGGGTCGTAGTGTTTGGGCTTGGACTTATTTTTTCGTCCCTTCTTTTTTTTTTTAATTTTGGAACTCTATATGGATTTGTGCTTTCGTTTAATAAGGCAAATCCTTTTGGGCAATCCAATAACATAGGTCATGTACTCTTATATTGTTTTATATACTCAAGTGTCTGGTTGGTTCGATGTATTGCATTAGTATTTCCTATAATCCTGATGCAATAGCCTCTTTCAAGCATTTGGTTGGCACATTTAGGTGGTAAAAGGGATTACAAGATGCATCATGATTGCTTCATAGAAGGTAATAGGGATTACATATTATAGTAAAGAATAGGGATTATAACATGTATGAATTCAAAAAAAGACAATATTTGCCCTTGCCTTCTTCATCATCTTTGTTGACCACTGCCAACCCTCCTCCATCTGTGCCCTTCCATACATTGACGACGCCCCTCCATCATTCCTTCTTCTCGCTTTATTGATGAACTAAACAAGTTTATCTTTCTTGTTCACTTCATCACGTCATGAGGATGAAAATGAAAAATCAACCAGTGTTAGCAAAAAGTGAAAAACAAAAATACGAAAACAAAGATCTAGACAATGAAAATGAGACTGGAATACTCTTCACCAGAGATGATGGAGATGTGACAGAGGAGGAAATCCTCGTTGCCAAGAATCATGGGCTATGGCTGAAGTAGAAGAGAGGGATGGAGGTAGGGTTGGAACAAAAGGTGATGGCACGGCAGAGCATTGATGTAGTTGCGATGAAGGTCAGTGATGAGAATCCAGACGTTCGATGGCGAACTTAGATCTAATCTTGTGCAAGGAATGTTGGCAGTGAGGAAGGTTGGGGAGACTTTGATCATCTAACAATGAAGCTAATGGGAGAAGGAGGGATGATGCACTTGGACATGAAAGAAGGTAGGGGTGAGGATTTTTTGGAAGTGGGATGTGTTTTGTTTCCAACTTGTGGGAGTGGTGATTCTACTCATGTGACGCACCTAGAGTGGACAGAACGTAGGGGTGAGGAATGATCATTCCGGAGGAGGAAGGATGGAGATGAATGAAGGCCAATAATGATGGTGAATATTGTGTCGGTGGATGAGGAAGAGGATGAAAACAGTAAATCAAAGAGAAATTTTATTTGTGCAGGGGCTCTTTTGTAATTTTAATTTTATTGTATTTAATTAAATATAAATAATAAATTTAATTTTATCATTTTTAATATTGTACCAAACAACTTTATTGTAATCATAATTGCATTACATTACATTCCCAATCATTCCACCGACCATTCCATTTCATTACATCCCCACTGATTCCATAAACCAAACGAGTCATAGGGGGTGTTTGGATGAGGCAAAACCATGGTTTGTAGAATAGCTTCTGGAGAATAGATTCTGGAGAGAATAGATTTTGAAAGAATAGATTTTCTGGAAAAGTGATTCTGATAAAGTGAGAGTGTTTGGATAATTATTGTCAGAAGTGCTTTTTGATATGTAGAAATTACTAAAAAGGACATAAGTTTAAATGATAATTACATATAATATATATTTCATAATATATGTTTATTTGAAGTAATAAATTTATTAATAATATATATTTTGACAACATAATAAATATGGCATAAATAATATAAATAATAAGAAATTAGTGTGTATATATATTAATAAAATAAATAAATATGTTTTTAAAAAAATGATTTATTTTGCCAAATAATTGTACCCCTGAGCTGAATGAGTACACCCCCCAGCGTGCTGAATGAGTCCCCCCCCCCGCGTGCTTGTTCCCTCCGTAGCCAATAATTGTCCCTCCGCCTGCTTATCTGAAACCAAGGTTTTGTTGGGCAAAACCTTGGTTTTAAAAAAAATGGGGGTGTTTGGCAAATTTTTTGCCAAACAACCATGGTTTGGCAAAAAAGCCAAACACCCCCATAATCTAACTCTGGTATATTTAAATTTTGAATTAAGTCCTATCAAGAGCAAATTGATGATTGTCACTATGCATGTCAAGTCATCTTGATGTTCATATGGATTTGTGTTAATTCAAGATTATTTTGGTAAATAATTTAATTTCTTTCAATATCTGAACTTGAATCTCCCAATAGTCACAGTTGTTTGATTAGATTGCTAATTTTTATCAAGTCCTCAAGACAAATTATGAACACATTAATTAAACCTACCAGCCATCTGATCCCAGCTCTGGCAACAAGGGTGGCGCAGGATATGGAGTATGGGTAGAAATAAAGAATTCAAACCAAAGCATGAAAAATAATGTCTACACCAAATATACTCCGAATAAGTACGTAGAAACTGTGAATATCCAGAAATTTTTATTAAATTAATATCACTTGGTAAGTATTAAAATAGGTTAGGAAACCCACACATCCATCTCACATGCACCTTTATTTTGGTTCTTTGGAGTATAAAGCCCACAACTGGTGTGGAGTAGTGTAATGTAGGCTTGAACCTCTTTGCTATCTTATTTATATTTATATATATAAGAAGGCATGATTTACCTTTATTTTAAATATGTAATCCCGAACTACTACTAGTTACTGTTATTTTATCTATAACAATTTTGGAGAGGGTATGCCCTGGAAAAGAGACATGATTTGAGAGTATGAATTAAAGTGGCTCAACCAAAAGCACATCGATGTCGCTTTCTCTCTTTAGACGCAGTCCTCTTTCCATTAACGGATTTAAACGAGACAAGCAAGGAGGTCTCCCATGCTTCCAACTTCCTTTTTTTTTTAGGGCAAAAATTGAATCTCTAAAAAATTTCAAAATTAATCGTAACCCCTAAGTTTTCAATCCCCTTTCTTCATTTGTTAAACACTCCCGTTTAAAAAGATTACCGCCTCTCATGCTTGGTACTCCTCCGGTCTTAAATATAAGATTTATTTTGGAGTGTAATTTTACACTATAAAATGAGTCTTATATTTAAGATCGGAGTAGTATAAAAATTTGTTTGATTTTTATTTTGGTACTAAATATAAAACTCTAATCCACTTTATCTCTCATATTTATCTATTTTTCTTAAGATAATTCTTATAATAATGATAGTTTTAGCTAATACACTTAATTAGCAAGGATATGTTCAAAAAAATAACATATATTTATTACAAATAACTAACTTAACTAGTTTTCTTAATCTACTTAAGTTAATTAACTAATTCTTATATTAAAGACGGTAGATAATATTGGCATTCACTGTAGAGGAACCAAGATTTCCCGTATGCTAAATTCCTGAGAAAAATTTTAAGCAAAATATATAATAGTAACAACAACAATATAGGAATAAAAATTAGTCAATTAGCTCTTATATTAAGACAGTATATAGTATTAGACATTTAGTGTAGAGAAACAAAGATTTCCCGTATGCTAAATTCATGAGAAAAACTTTAAGCACAATATATAATACTCCCTCCGTTCCTTATTATAAGAGACAAATAACCGAAGTACGTTGATAAAAAAAAACAGTTAAAATTGGTTAAGAACAGTTAATATGTAAAAAGTATCCTTTTTTTCCAAAAATACCCTCATTAATAAGGAGAGAGAGCATGAGAGAAAACAATTAAATTATTAAAAGAAAGAGAAGTGGGAGGGAGAGAGAGTGTGAGTTGGAGATAATAAATATGGGTAAAATAGGAAATCAACACAAAAAAGTAGAGACAACTTTTAAGTGTCTCTTATATATAGGAACATGCCATAAGCATCAAATGTCTCTTATAATAAGGAACGGAAGGAGTAATAACCAGTGAACAAAAAATCGAATCGAATCAGCTGCTTCAACCAGTGAACCGGTTAATGGTTCAGTTCGGTCTGGATATTAAACCGGGAGGGAGTTGAATTGGTAGAGAATAGGTCAAACTTGTGTGAACCGGTAATAAACCAGTTTGGATAATTAAGTTGTTATTGGTCCTATTTTTTCTCATTTAACTCTTAATATCTCAGCCGCTATAAATTTAAATGAATTTTAATGATAATTGTGGTATTAATGATTATTAATTTTAGTTAATGATTAACCATAAAGATCAAGTTCTCAATATTGTTATATTTTGTTATTGTTACAATCAAACTATTGTTATATTTTCTTATCTTTTGTTATTAGTGATTATTAATGTTGTTATATTTCGTTATTTTTAATTAACTTATATTATTTTAATATGACCGGTTAGATCCTGAGTTGACCCTAATCTGAGCAACTAACCCTTGAACTACTACCTCAACCAGTTTAATATCCAATCCAGTTTTTTATTCCTTGATAATAACAACAAATAACAAATTGCAATTCATAATTTCTCTTCCCCTACCCATGCGATACAATCGACTGATATTACTTAAGAGGTATTAAATGCTTTTTCATTACAACCAAAACATTCTTGTTGGAAAATTATACAAGGTCACTTCTTTCTCCCATCATTATTGTATAAACTCCTCCCACGGTTCTCAATGTAAAATACTTTATCTAAAACATTAATTTTTTCTTAAATATCGTCAATTTGATACTCCCTCCGTTCCTTATTATAAGAGACATTTGATGCTTATAGCATGTTCCTAAATATAAGAGACACTTAAAAGTTGTCTCTACTTTTTTGTGTTGATTTCTTATTTTACCCATATTTATTGTCTCCAACTCACACTCTCTCTCCTTCCCACTCCTCTTTCTTTTAAGAATTTACTATTGTTCTCTCTCATGCTCTCTCTCCTTATTAATGAGGGTATTTTTGGGAAAAAAATTATACTTTTTACACATTCATTGTTCTTAACTAATTTTAACTGTTTTTTTGATCAACGTAATTCGGTTATTCGTCTCTTATAATAAGAAACGGAAGGAGTATTGCGTAACTAATCAGACACCGACCTTCTCTACTATGCTTAATATATAAATTTTATTCAAGGTAATTTTGGACTTTTACAAAAATTAACTAATTTTGTTCAACTTTCTTAATTTACTTATGCTGTTAACAGGCGTTCATAAGAAGGAAAAAAAATAAATGGAACTTCATTTTTCACTTGCACAGTACTTCGCCATAAAAATTTCATATATTTACATATTTTATTTGAAAAACTGCCCATAGTTAGAAAATTAAATAAAAAATATCTCAAGAAATTCTATATTTTTACGAGTTTGGTTTAAAAATGACATAACTCGACTTGTCAATATAAAAGTTTAATTTGCAAACATAAACTATACAACTTAAGTTGTAAATATGATTTTTTTTCATAATATTATGATATTTATTTATTTTTTTTGCATGACTTAAAGATAATTTTTCCACTTTATTTCCTCGAAAACTTACACACAGTTCTTTGCATGCTTTACATACACGCAAAGTTTATTTTAACACATCATCATCTAGTCTTTAACATTTTACTAATGGTGTTAACTTATTTCACTTGATTTTTTTTTTCAGAAATCCTAACCCTAACACCACTTGCTCTCTGCTACAATGAAGAAAAACTTGGTTTGCAAGGATTGAAGAGTTGCTCAGGATGTAAGAGAAATAATTAATCAAGAACTTAATTACGAATAATTGGCAAAGACTAAATATTGCACATAATTGATTTAATTAAGAGAGAATTACAATTAGATCCTAAGGAAGAAAATAATTACTAAAAAGTTTCAATAACAATATAAGTAACTTTAGAATAGGATATGATAATTTTTGAGACTTTTTTTATAATTATTTTTCTTCCTCAGGAATTAGCTTGGACAAGAGATAGATAGATTTCGTGAAGATGCACCTTACTAATTAATACTCCTCTGGTCCTTAATATAAGACCCATTTAACTAATTTGATTAGATTAAAGAAGTTAGGTAAGTTAGTTAATTATAAGAAAAGTAACACATTTTTCCTAAAACACCATAATCATCTTTCTTAATACCCTCTCTCCCTCTTCTACTTGATTATGGTTGAGGGAGTATACATAGGGGTAATTTAGAGAAAAATGATAAATATGAGAAATGAGTCTTATATTTAGGACCAAAACTAACTCAAGAATTGGGTCCTATATTAAGGACCGGAGGAGTACGTATTATCATCCACACACATTGACCTAGGCCTCTGGTCCATCATCAACCCGGGACTCAACCTGAACATGAGAATGCAAAACTCCATTTGGCTCAAGACACCATCGCCATCCAGGTCACCTTCCATAATCATCATCACGAGCTCCTCGTCCCTCACATCTAACCCTAGCAGCGTTGCCGTCGTCTTCAAGCTCTCGAAGGTGATCACTCCTTTGTTCGAGTCCATGAGAAGGCAGAATCCGTTGCAGAGCTCGCCGAGGAAGCCTTCTGCTCCCAAGGTCGCCACCATGGAGGGGAAGAAGTCCTCGAAGTCGAATTCCCAACCGTAATCTATTTCCGTTGCTGAAGAAGAACCTGCAAATTGCTGCATCATGCTTCAACTGTTTGTTCGTTGCTTGTGATGAGAAGAAGAAGAGAAGACTGTGTGGGAGTGTGTCGGTAGCTTGAGGTTGAAGAATTTGAAAGGTAGGGTTGGTGAGTGAGGTGGAAAGAGGGTTATATATATATAGAGAGAAAAATGATTAAACGAGGGGGAGAAGTGATTTTGAATCTAACTATTTTTTTTCCCATTTTTTTGAAAAGAGAGGCAGATGAATTCGAATTTCAAGTGAATTTTTGTCCTGGAATCAATTTTCAAGATTTAAAATTTAATCAGCAATAAAAATGAATTATTTTTCACTGATTGTACTGTTTGTCCCAGTGAAAAAGAATTTTGAATGCTTAAATATGAAATCTCGAGTTTGAATCCGTGTGAATATATAAAACACTTTTAAGAGCTCGATAATGGTAAAATCTATCCCAATCAGATAATTATTAAAAGAAGAACTATTTTAGTTTCTAAAGTTATATACAGACGGTTCATATAAATAAATGATCAAACATTTAATTAAAACAACTGTTCGATGTTTTTTTAAATCCAAAATTGAATGACCGATAAACCTTTTCATCAATACAAGTAGAATGTTACTTATGCAAATTAGATTTTGTAAATTGAGTTTCTTCAGTGCCATTTTTCGTAACTAATTAACGTCTAAACATGTACTCATCAGTGTTATCTCTTTTTAAATTAATTTAAAAATTTAGACTCAAAAGGAAAAATATAAATTGTTTTGGCCTTTTCCTTTTTTGGCGGTATTTAGGTCCATGTTTTTTTAGCATGAACATTTATGTCCTTGTTTTTTTTTTACCTGTTATGTCCCTGTTCAATACCTCATAAAAACGTGAATTTGATTGCGACTTCTTTTGATGTAGCTAACGGCTGGGGGTAAAACAGGAAATAACCTTGTTAATATTCATAATAGAGAATACAATGTCCCGTGAGCCATGTGGTATATACATGTAGGGTAGAGATGTTCGGTGAAAATGGCACATCGCATTAATTGCCAATGTTCGTTGTGCAATAATTTCTCAACAGGTGTATTGAAATTGGTGAGTAAAAAGCTTTGGATAGACACAAATCTATTCAATTTTCCTTTTAATTAATAAAACATAACCCTGTTTTTGGAAAAACATGTATCAAGTTCAATATTTTTTCAATTTATAAAATACTCCCTCTAATCTTGTGTGTGTATATATATATGATATAAACAACTAAATTATATAGATAAAAAATTATTAGCTAAAATTTATTTAAGGTAATAAAAGTATTAAAAAACCTTTATTTATGACAAAAGAGAGAGAATGAGTAGGAAAAATAATTAATAGTGGTATAAATATCTTATTAATTAAGAAAAATAAAAAATTGGTTAACTTTTTAAAAAATGAAGGGCATCCATATCCTCTTATTGATGAATCCCTGTTCAAGATATTATTATACACTAAAAATAAACATATCTTTTAATCATTGCATTGTTGTGAGTCGTGACTTGCGAGTGATTAGTATCTTCTCCTAACATCACATCACCTTCGAAGATTTTTAATAAAACTCCAAGCTGCACATAATATTATGGCAACACATAACCTTTTCAGCAATAAAATGATTTAAAAAATCTTTAGAAAAAAATTATATTGATAGTAGAGAGGGAGAGAGAAAGAGATAACTTATGTTCAAAGTTTTGTCGATATTGCTAGGCCGAGGGAATCTATTTGTTCCTGTTTGGGAGCATCTTTCGTCCTTCGTTTCAGCAGCCTCGTCTTGCTCTTGTCTTGGAAGCTTCCGCTGTGAGGGCGTCACATGTTCGTACTAGGCAGTCACTATCATTGTTAGAGGCCAATAAAAGGGAATTTACTCTTCAATACGTTATCGATATATAGTTTTGTCCCTGTTGCCCTCTTGCTCCTTTCTCTTTCACTCTATAGAGAGAGAGAGAGGGATTCTGGTGAAGCTTCTCCTTCGTGGAAGTTGCAGGTTGCTGAACAATTGTATGGATTCTGATGTTGTTTTTAACGTGTACGTACGTGGAAATGTAATCTCCTTAAACGATCGGGCAATGTACCTATACGTACATGGACGGAACTTCAATGGATACATCATGAGTACTACTATTCCAAACGTAAGCGTTTGTTAGTGACTTGATTTTAGTAATAAAGGTAAGACTGTAGTTCATAGCATCTTTCACACTTGCAACTTTTTCTAAACTAATTCATTCAACTTATTACCCATCCTTGTTATAAGATTTTGTTTAATTTTTATTTTGATTTTAAATATAAGACTCAATCCACTTTATCTCTCATATTTATGTATTTTTTTCAAGATAGTCCTTCTAATAATAATAATGATAGTTCTAGCCAATACACTTGATTAGCAAGGATAGTTTAGGAAAGACAACACATATTTATTATAAATAACTAACTTAACTTCTTTCTTTAATTTCCTCAAATTAGTCAACTAACTCTTATAAATAGGATCAGAAGTAGTATAATAATAAAGTTTCATATGGGAGTGCCTTAAAGAAAATCATATTGCATTTGTTATAATTAAATAATTTATTTAAATTATTTAATCTATTTAAATTAATTAACTAATTATTATATTATACTAACTTCTTCTGAATGTAAAATCTAATTTTTTAATATAAATTACAATACATACTAGTTTTTAGTTTCTCAAATTTAGAACAGGAGGCAATATTAAACACGGGGAAGCAATTTTAGGCATGTGACGGGTTCTTTGCCTAGTCTTCCGGATAAATTAGCAACCCACCGCTTTTGATTCCACAGTAAATAATCCACGTCGACATTTCTTATTTCTTATGAACCAAGAGGTCAAATTAAACCAAAGTGATCTACCTAGATGGTACCACGCCCACGCGCATGTCCGCTTGTTCGTGTAACACGTGATTGAGAACACACGAGAATTAAATTTTAATAAAACCACACATTCTTGTTTTGATGCTGGCTTGGCTTCGCTTTTGAAATATTACTTCTAGTTTTAATATAAGAGTTTGGTTGATTTTTATTTTGATTCTAAATATAAGATTCTAATTTTCTTTCTCTCTCATAATTTTTTTCCAAACTAGTTCTTGTAATAATGATATATAGTTATAACCGACACATTTAAATACAAGGATATTTTGAAAAAACAACATCTATTTATTACAAATAACTAATATAACTAATTTTCTCAATCTACTCAAATTAGTTAACTTGCTTTTATATTAAGGATTAGAGGTAGTAGTAATTAACAATTTATTATCAAAAGTTAACAAGACATAGACTGGAATTCCCGTCTCGTTTCATTTTTTTTCCCCTTCAAAAATTACAACGATGCTTTCACAATAAAGTAAAGGATTCTAAACAAATAAACATTATTAATTAAAAATCCTGAGGGAAGCTTCAATAATATTCACAATAATTTTGAAAAGACCAAAGTTAAAAAGTCAGAATATTATTAAATTTTAAATAAAAATAATAAAATTTAAAATTTATGAAATATGATAGAAATGACTTATCAGTAAGACCAGCAGAATATATCTTTGATTGATGTCTTTTCCTAAGCATCCAGGGGTGTGCGTGCATTACGCAATCAAAGAGGGCCAACCATTGAAAAAAAGAGATTAGAGATTATGTGTGTGGGGAGAATCCGAGTTCATAATAATGTGTGATATTCCTTTGGTTCCCCTTATGTCCCCACAAACTAATACTCTTTCCGATCCTATAAAGTAGGTTTTATATTTAGTATCGGAGGGTTAGTAAGTACGGACGACCCCAAATGATATCCATTACGTGAAGGTCAAAATTAAATAATTAATACTGTGACAAATATGACTATATGAGTGCATGTGACACCTAATTTTAGTCGCACGCTCGCCTTAATAATTAACAAGGGAAGTACGTTTCATTGACTCTTTACTATTACTATCACATTGTATTATCGTTGTGTGGGTCTGAGACAATTGTAAACTTCCATGAAACTTCCTTTTTCTTTGCCTTCTCAGTTCTTCAAAAGCCAACGTCTATACTACGCATAACTTTTTATGAGTTTCATAATTTCACTTCATGGTTTTCCATTTTTTTTTCCCCAAGAAAATAAAAAGGAAGGGACAAATGCATACAAAAGTTAAATTTAATGATAATTTTGTTGGAATACAAGTGACAAAAATCAATAAATAGTATCTAAGGACCACTGAAGAGAGCATCCAAATTTGAAAAAAGAATCGGCAGCTCTACTGGTATGAAAAACATGGAGAGAATGGGAGGGAAGAGAAAATTTTAATCAACTCATTTTAAAAAATTGAAGAAGTGGGGTTAAAATTTTGATAAAAAGAAAATGTACCCCGCTACTTTAATTTTTTAAAACAAACTAATTAAAATTTTTTTTCCTTCCATTTCCTTCATGCCACACAGTGACACAGCCCCTAAATGTTATAAAAAAGTTACAAAGAACAATTTAAATAATTATTTAAAAATTAATGTTATAATAATCTTACCTGAATTTTAATTAGGCCTTTGTATTTTTTTTTACTTATTAATTATTTGAAATTATAATATCTAATTAAAAAAGGGGAACTATAGTGACATGATAAAAAGGGGAAAATATAGGGACCTAATTGAAATCATATGAAATTGCATGGACATGTTATAAAAAGGAAAAGCCATAAGAAATTAAGAATTAGGCAAAGGCATAGGAAATTGTAGATTAACCTTCTGCTTAAGACAGTTCTAGTTCGCATAGTTTACTCACAGTGATTTCTAATTAATAATCCTAACTTTACAAGTATTTAAATTAATATTTACAAATTCTATTTCAATATTAAATTTTGTTGAAACCTAATTAAGTATCATTGATAAATTAACTTTTTTTTGGAATTTTTTTAAAAAGAGGTTATACAGGATCTACAAATCATGGATGCAATTCTTTACAGGGAAACTGGCAAATAAAGACTCCCAATATGTGACATTGTGATTTGAGACTCTCAATTTAAAAAATAACATATAAAGACCCTGTCTCATATTGCAAATATGAAATTTTGGTTAAATGTTTGAAATGCCCCTTGACCAAGTGACA